GCTAATGGGCCTGAAATCCTTCAATTCTGTTGCACCCATTTTTTTTGGGATCAAAGCTATGAAAGTAGCATTAAAGCTTTTTTCAAAGTAGCCTTGGCTATGGAAGTTCTGAATGGTTGCTATCACATCCGTCTTCACCACCTCCCAACACTGTATGAAAAATGCCATAGTGAAACCATCTGGGATAGGAGCCTTATCTCCTGCACAAGCAAACACACATTCTTTGATCTCTTGTTCTCCAAACTGACTTTGCAACATTACATTATCTTCTTCATTCAAAGTAGCTTGATCTGTGGGGCTGAACTGAGGTCTCCAGTGTTCATTCTCTTTGTAGAGGTTTTGGTAGAAATCTATGATCTCCTCCCTGATCATTGCTGGTTCTGATACATTAGCTCCATTGATCAAAAGACTATCAATGCTGTTGTATCTCTTGTGGCAGTTTGCTGTTCTGTGGAAGAATTTTGTATTTTTATCCCCCTCTTTCAGCCATATAGCCCTGGATCTTTGCCTCCATGCCACTTCCTCCTTTTTTGCCACCTCCTCAAACTCTACTGTCAGAACAGCTCTCAGAAATGACTCATCATCAGACAAGCACCTATGAGTCTGGATCACATCTAAATCATATAGCTGGTTTAAAATGTTCTGTTTCTGTAGACCTAGATTGCCTTGAGCAATTCTGCTCCATTCTTTCAACTTCACTTTGAGGGATTTCAACTTGCAAGCTAGAATGTAATCTGGTCTTCCCATAAAAAATTTCAGAATCCCACCACCCCTTAATTCTCTCATTAAAATTCTCAGTTTGCAACCACCAATTTTCGAATTTAAAATAGGACAAAGACCTCTCCCAGTTTCCACATTCTAGTAGCAGAGGATTATGATCAGAAGTGACTCTAGTCATAATAGATTGTTTGATTTTCCTGAAAGATACTTCCCATTCTTCTGAGAACAGGAACCTATCCAGTCTTGCTGCTGTATCGTAGTTGTCTCCTTTTCTCCATGTAAAATTGCCCCCTATGAGAGGTGGATCTTCTAGTTCCATATCCTCAATAAAGTCTGAGAAATCCTCCATGGCTTTATTGATTCTGATGCAATTCTTCTTCTCGGAAGGGGACCTTACAACATTAAAGTCCCCAGCAATCACCCAAGGGCCATCAAATAGGCTCCTTACTGCTCCCAGCTCCCACCAAACCTCTTTCCTTTCCTCCCTGTTGTTTGGGCCATAAACGCCTGATAAGTGCCAGCTAAAATCCTGCGTTTTGCCCAGGAATCTAACAGTAATGCAATAAGCCCCACCTCACAAACTTCTCCCTCCCATATACTGCTGTCCCATAGAATGATAATGCCTCCTTTAGTTCCCGTAGCTTCCAACTGTGCGAATTTCACCCTCCTGCTGGCCCATAGCTCTTTGATTGTCTCCCTTATGTCACCTCTTAATTTGGATTCTTGAAAACAATATACATCTGCTCTCCATATATGTAACATGTTCTTAATCAATAGCCTCTTCCTAGGATCATTGAGGCCTCACATTCCATGACACTATGTTAACCTTCATTAAGATTATTCACGAAACATCCCCCTCTGCTTCTTGTTCCAAAACTAATGAAATTGCTGCTTGGTTCCAGATTTTTAAGCTCCTTTGGAATCTAGGAATAATTAATGAATCTTCTCTGCCCTAGGCTTTCTTGCGTTTAATTTTGCCCTAGGCTTTTTTGAATTAGAATTTTTTTCACATTAATTATTCTTAATGTGAAATCTAGGAATAATTAATGAATCTTCTCTGGATAAGGACAATCCAAAGAATCATATCCAAATATACTATGGTAGATTATAACTCATATCTCATAAAAAGAAATCCTTTGGCTGCTACTTTGAGCTATCTGAGTTTTTCATCGCTATGATTTGGTTTTCTGTTTTTTTTTAAACAAAGCTAGGTTTGGATCTAGTTGGATTTGGAGCTGAAGTGTTAGAATTTGATCATTGTGACTTCTGATAAGATAATTGTTCAATTCTAGTATGTTTTAATGTTGTTTCTGTGTATTTATAGAGTTTTACTGTTTGTACAAGTTTATGTAGTATTATTTGAGTTACATTGAGTTGTTTATTGCTATGATTTGGTTTACTGTATGGTTTATTTTGTGATTTCAATAAAGCTAGATGTGGATCTAGTTGGATTTGGGTGTACTAGTAAACTGGATTTGGAGCTGTAGTTTTAGAATTTGATCATGTTGCTTTTGATAAGCTAATTGTTCAATTCTACTATGTTTTAGCTCTCTGTTTCTGTCTATATAGAATGTTAAGTTGCATTGAGTTCATTACAGTGATGTTATGGTTTGCTGTGTGGCTTATTGTGTGCTTTGACGGAAACTAGTGTTTCCTGCTTTGTTCAAATCAGTATCTGCAGAGTTGGTTGGAATGGATCTAGAGGTATTTGGATGAACTAGTTGACTAGATGACTATGCTAGGCTTTGTGGTCAAGAACTAATGATATGTGAACATTGTGTTTGGCCAGGATTTGGTCAGAATCCCCCAATTGTTAATGGGTTAGGTCCTTCGCCGCCGCCATTATCCCCACAGTCAACACCATTACTGTTTATTTGATTATACCCTCTAAAAATTGTGATATTTACAAACAGAAGAGAGGAGGAGCTTTTGAAATTTTACATGAGGGAAGAAGTATAAGAAAAATAAGGCAAGAACTCATCTGACTCTCCAAGCGCTAACAATAATGAATTTGAACGACAAACAGAGATTTATCTATTTTTTGTGACTCTCCAAATGCTTAGAATCTTAAATCTTAATGATAATAACTCAGAAAAGAACAACTACAATTTGCCTCACCTCTAGGAACTTGAGATGGGGTGAGGGGCGTGGACCATATATTGGAGCCTTAGGAGTGTGAGGAGTGATCCATATGCCTTAATTATCTTTTTTTTTCTTACAAATGGCTAGTGATCCATGGGGACGGGAGTCATGGTTCATGACAACTCATGTCGCATTCTATCTGGAGTAGTATTAAAATGGAAAAGTCTTACCTGAATTACTGCCTTTTTATCTTTTGTGAGTCATGAAAAACTGCTTTAAGTTGGTCATGGTGTCAATGACTATGTATTTTGACCTGTAAATTCATCGGGGAACTAAAGACCAATAACTAAGATAAGGAGACTTGAAAGAGAACAGTCTAATCAAGGTTGCACCTAGTAAGCCCTAGAATCTTTAAGGCTTTGAGAGTAGTTCCGAGTGAATCGGGTATCCCACCAGAAACATTATAATAATAGAGATCTAACTCCCTTAGTGAATGAGTACTACTACACCAATTAAACTTGGGTGACAAAACTGTTAGCTAATTTCCCGACAGTCTGAGAGTTTCCACTTCTTAGACTAGAGCCATATCTTTAACCTGAGGTAGTTATAAATTGAAGGCAGTTGTTTTATTGTCGGATACGAATTTGTATGATTGATGATCCTACGACTCTCTGTGATCGTTGCTTTTCTTTTCTTTTTGATCTTACCTCCTTCCACTTTTTTTATTTGACTTATTGTGGCATTGACGGGGAACACAGACAGAGTTACTAAGGTAAACTGCATGAGAGTTTGTATGGATGGAGTTGTCCTAAAACCTGTGCCAGTGGATAAAATGAGAAGTGCTTTATCTGAGCTCTTAGAACATGGAGTTGTACTTGAATCTTAGAGAATGTAGGAGGAAAATGTGCAGCAACCATATGAATAATTCACCCAAATGCACAAGGTGTTGTATATAGTTCTCGTCTTTGGGGCAAAGAGGAAGAGTGTTATTCTTGGTGTGGTGATAACACAGTATGCCACTTGAAAAAGGTGTATGTATCTGATTAAACGCGACGTTGCTCAAGGCATTCAGCAGATTTGTAGAAAGGAGTTTATTTTTCCACTACGCAGAAGTGTTCATATTCCATGGAACTTTGTATAAGATCTGATTTTGACACATCCCTTCATTTACTTGAAACATTAGAAGAATTATTGCCTTGGCTTAACATTTGTGGCAAAAACATGATTGGTCAATAGATTATGTGTTTTTTTTCTTCTGTTTTTTCTATTGCCTTTTCATATCCATAGTTTTTTCTGACCTTACTAGATAGCAAAGAGCTTGAACTGAAGGGGTGTTTTGACTCTATGCATCAAAGAAGCAACAGCAAATAAAAAAACTAAAGCAGGTAATTCTTTAATGAATACATTAAGTAACGATTTTTCACAAAGCAAGTTGTAGAATGATTTCAAAATAACTTGAGTTTTTTCTCAATTTTTCACATTCATGGCTGTTCACTGCCTACATACGAAAATCCCTCACATTTTTTTCATTGTTCATCAGGGATAGAACGAAATGCTTCACTTAAGCAAATGATGTCTTAAAGTTGCATCAAGGATTTCTTTCGAAATTGTGGTTGTTTTCTCAACCTCGATGAAATTCTCTATCCTATATCTAAAAGGTGTTATCAGGTAAATCGACAAGCTTCTGTATTCCAATTCTAAAGGGTTTAAAAGGTATCCAAATTGATAATTTTTTATGTCTAAAAAGGCTTCTACATTATCAAGTAAGACTCAAGAAGAATCATGTGTTTGTTTGGAAGGACAAGAAGTGATTAAAATTGGGTTAATGGGACAACATCCTTGGTTATCTTTAATCAAGAGAATTTTGAATCCTTGTTTTTGTCTGCATTTATTTTCTTCTACGTTCCAATAGCTCATCATCCTTAGATTCTGAAATTCGTATATTGAGGAATAAGTTTATATTGTTGTGTCTTAATACTTGAACCTATGTTGGATATCATCTACTCGGACCATATATGCTCAGTACCTGTACATTTTCTCTATCTGGACAATGTTAAAAAATGAAAGACGAGATTGTTGCAATCGTTAAGTAAATCAATATTGGCTTCTTTAACTTATTTGACTTTTGTTTACAGGTATAAACTTTCACACAGCAAGAGCTCATGTTCATATTTCGTGTATTGCACTAATTTTTCATCACCTTCTTCCCCTGCCACCTCCTCCTTCCATAGCATGTCTATTAAATTAGACCATACATTATTCTTTATGGACAATGAAAACCTATGATTATTTTGGTTTGCATTGTGCATACTCCTTTGTTAGCATGTCATTTAATTCATTATTGATGATAGTTTTGTGCTGGTCATTAATTCTGTAGAGCTGTGAATTGAGATAATTCTCATGTGTGCTCTATATACTCTTCCAGTTATTTAGATTTTATTTTTAGACAAACTCTTTATAATCGTTGTTTTCCACTTTCTCCTGGTTCATGTAGCATATACTTTGTTGTGATCTTGAGTTTACATGAGAAAAAGGAAAATTGGTTCTAGTGCTGATGCATGCCTAAGCTTTACCAAGTATGTTGTTTTGATATACTGCTCCCTCATTCTTTCTGTAATATAGACAATTTTAAAATAGTTTCTCTCCATTCAAAGTCAACACGCAATATATTTTGCTTTTCTTATCTTAAATTTGTCATGATTTCTCAGCTTTCGTCAAGCTGGTGCTTCTGTCATTCAAATTTTTGTTGGTCCCCTGAGGGTAAATTCTTTGTTCTTCTCTCTGTTTGTTAGTGATCATTAAGTGTTTTGTTGTGTTCTCCCATATTTATTATTTATATTTGCTGAAAGAGTCTTGGAATACATGCTGAAAGGGTGAATATGATTGTTTATCCAATGGACAGAGGTTTACTCTTACTGTCTAATTTTGATTTTTTTAAAAAAATAGAAATTCTTACGTATGTTGTGTGTTTACTGATTATATAGAGATTTCAATTGTTGTGTAGTGACAATAATATTGTTATACTATGTTTTTCTTAGGTCATGTGGACATGATCGTTTTTTCTGAATTTCATGGTATAGAAAAAGTTGTATCACTACAGATTATTTTTACACTATTGATAGATTAATATTTTTTGAATTAAAAATATTTACCTAATCTTTTAAAATTGAAAAAAGTGACATGATTTTATTAAAACTGATCTATTAATATTTTTTAACGAACCCTATCCAACCCAAACAAAAATAAAAACCCAAATTCCCTTCCCATTAGAAGAATTGGGTACAAGAAATGTTTCTTGTATTGTGTACTAAGATGTTTTGGCACTTTTGGCCTGAAATATAGAGGTGGAAATTTCTCCATCAAATACTACCAAGTACGCAGAGAGTCTATTGATGAAAGGGACTGGGAAGGTATTGTTAACAATGACTAGTATTGAGAATGATTTGTTTCTCTAACTTATAATTTTATTTTGAATGTGCAGGAAAATGTGGGTGATTGAATTTGAATAGTGGCCAGAAGTAAACTCGATTGTAGTGAACAATAAAGATTTTTTGTACTATTGCCATATATGTTTGGATGCATTTGTCTCTAGTAGAGATCCTTAAGCAATTGCTTTCTAAGTATGGGTTGTACAAGACATGTTTTTCGAAGTTTATTTGAAATATATATCTTAGAATGATTTATTTTATAATTTGGTGCTTTATATCATTTATATATTTAATTATGTGATTATTGAATACATGCAAATCAAAATTATTATTCTTAAAAATTAAAAATTGTGGCTACAAATATTCTACACAATATTGCCGCACTTCGTAAGTGTGGCTATAGGGACGTCCAATGCGTGGCTTATGAATTATAAATTTTAGCATGTACATAAGAAAAGTTACACTTAATAAGTGTTGTTGTAGATGAGATATAAAAGGTGACACTTTTAAAGTGTGACCAATAACAAAGCAAAGGCCACACTTTAAAGTGTAGTATAATCAAATAAAAGTGTTGTTAATGAAATACTACAAAGTGTTGCCTTAATACCTCTTTGGCCACGCTTTTTATGTGTAGCTGCTATGGCGACATTTAAAAAGTGTGGCCTAATGTCATAGGTTACGCTTCTTTAAGCCACCCCCTAAAAAGTGTTGCCTAAAGTCAAAAAGTGTAGTTTTTTATCTAAGGCCACACTTTTTGTCAGTTTAGATTACACTTTATCGGGGTGGTTAAAAGCCTAAAATGTTGTAGTGTTCTATGAGATTTAGACTTGTTTTAAACTATCTACTTCCATTTTGAATAACAACTGAATACTTATAAGACTTGATTTTGATGATGCTTGAACTTTTAGACTCCATTGTGAATATGTGAATCAAGTGGAATTTGAATGTTTAGGAATGTATTCGATGTTTTGTATTGTTATGTTAATTTGTATGGATGGATGGTATTATAATTTAGCAGTTGTTGTACCAAAATAAACAACAATTTTGTGTATTAAAAGTAGCTTTCATATAGAATTATTTTTTAGAAAATTAAAAATGTCATCTACAGTAGTCGGAAGACCACCTAATAGTTAATAAATTAATTATTTATACCGACTATAGTAGTCGGAAGAGTACTGACATGATTAATAAATGCTGACCACAGTGATCAAAATATATATAATTAATTATTTAATTGATTAACTATTACGACAACCGTAGTCGGCGTTATTAAATTAATAAATTATTATTTAATAAGTATTCCGACTACAGTAGTCGGTAGTATTTAAATTAATAAAATATTATTTTACTACCGTTTCGACTACAGTAGTCAGCAGTTCAGGTACTTTAATGGTTGGATTTTAATTTATATGTAGTGACTATGGTAGTCGGCAAGTATTTTCCGACGCTCAATCTGCCGACTACTCAAAAGTAGTCGGAGAGTCATTGGAAAACTCCATGTTCCGACTACATTCCGACCAATTTTGAAGTCGGCAAACAACGAAATTCTAGTAGTGTAATATATTCGACATTTGTATTAAATGTCGCTATTTTAGCAACACTTTTGCTAAAAGTCGCTAAAATAATGACATTTTTTTCTAAATGTCACTAAAATCAATGACATTTTACAGTAAATGTCATAATATATTCGACATTTATATTAAATGTCACTATTTAAGCGATATTTTTTCTAAATGTCACTAAAACCAATGACATTTTGTAATAAATGTCATATTATATTCGACATTTGTAGCAAAATGTCATCATTTAAATGACATTTTCGCTAAATGTCGCTAAAATCAACGACATTTTGCGATAAATGTCATTATCATAGTGACATATTGGACCAAATGTCATTATATTTACAATATTTGATACCAAATGTCATTATTTTTACGACATTTGACATCAAATATCATTGTTTTATGACATTTTGTTCTTAAATGTCGTGAAATTCTTTATTTTCCAACATTTATTTCAAATGTCACCAAATTAATGTCGTCGTATGTACATTTTCTTGTAGTGGTTCTTCACAAATCGACGATAGTAGCTAGCAAGCCCCACCAAACTCCTAACTTCCGTTACAGAGCTAGGCCGAACCCAATTCTTAACCTCCTCAATCTTTTGGGGATCTACCATTACCCCTCTTTTGAAACTACATGCCGCAAAAATGCAACCGAAGTCAACCAAAAATTCACACTTAGAAAATTTCGCACACAACCTTTGTTTCCCAAGAACACCCAAAACAATACGGAGATGGTCGGCATGCTCTTCCTCACTTTTCGAATACACTAAAATATCATCAATAAAGACTATAACAAAGGAAACAAGAAATGGTTTGAACACACCATTCATCAGACTCATGAAAGCTGCAGGCGCATTTGTCAACCCAAATGACATAACTAGAAATTCGTAGTGCCCATAACGGGTTCTAAACGTCGTCTTGGGACATCCTCATGCCTAATTTTCAACTGATGGTAACAAGACCTTAGATAAATTTTAGAGAAAACTGATGCACCTTGCAATTGGTCAAAAAGATCATCTATTCGAGGCAATGTGTACTTGTTTCGAACGGTGACCCTATTCAATTGCTAGTAATCTATACACATCCTCATACTACCATCTTTTTTCTTAACAAACAATACAGGAGCACCCCACGGGGAAGCACTAGGACGAATGAATCATTTATCAAGAAGTTCTTGGATTTGAGCCTTAAGCTCTCTTAATTCTACTGGAGCCATACGATATGGAGGGATAGAAATGGGGCGGGTACCAGGTTCCAAATCAACACAGAAATCTATATCTCTATCTGGAGGCATACCAGGAAAATCCATAGGAAATACTTCTCTAAATTCTGACACCACAGGAATAGACTCAATAGATAGAGACTCAACCTCAACATCCCGAATATGAGCCAAATAAGCCAAACAACCCTGCCCTACCAGTTTTATAGCTCGAATGGAGGATATGATCTTAGCTTGCTTAGACTTGTACACCCCTTCCCACTCTAATTTTTCCCTTTCCGGAATTTCTAGAGTCACAAACTTAGTATTACAATTAAGCACAACATAATAGGGGGACAACCAAGTCATGCCTAAGATTATATCAAAGTCAGTCAAATCCAAAATCACCAAATCAGCCTAAGTATGAAACCCATAAACAAAATAGGACAAACACGATAAACATGGGTGACTATGACATACTCTCCAACTGGGGTAGAAACATGGATGGGGGCATCAAATATATCACAAATCATAGCAAATTCTGAGGCAAATCACACGAACATATAAGAATAAGTAGAACCCGGATCAAATAACACATTAGTCATCTGGTCACAGACAAGAATAGTACATGTGATCACTGCGTTAGATGCCTCCGCCTCGGTCTTACCTGGAAAGCCATAACACTGAGCCCTGTCATCATGACGGGCAACTTCCCTTCCTGGCTACACTGTACCTCTGCGGCCTCGTTGATTTCCTCCTCCCCCACCTTGTGGACGTCCTCGACTATTATTACCATTTCCCGCGGGTACCACTGCCTTAGTCTGCTGCTGCGCGGAATTCATCATGCACGGGTGGGGACAATCTCTCCTCATATGCCCAGGTTCTCCGTAGTTATAGCAAGTATGATCAAAAGTTGGCTTGCTGCCCGTCGAAGGTGCGGTTCCCTGGATATCCTGAATCAAATTCTGAGGTGGAGTTCTAGAGTAATTACCTGTAGAAACGGGCATAGCAGACTGAATTGGCCGGGCTGCAAGTGTTGGTCTCCCTGAACCTCTGGAGTAAAAACCCTAAATGTTGCCTAAATTCTTGGCTTTCTTTGCCAACGCCTTATCCTGACCGTCTCGCCTCACCCCCTCCACTTTCTTCACAAAATCAATTACCTCATTGAAGCTTTTTCTTGCAGAAGTCATATGAACGGAAAATACCTGCAACTTAGAATTTAGCCCTTTAATAAATAAACGGATCCTCTCTTCCTCAGTAGGCACCAATTGCGTAGCATATCTAAACAAAGCATGGAACATGGCCTCTTAAGAAGCCACATACATACCACCTTGCTCTAAGGCCATGAATTCATCCTTCTTACGATCTCTCAAAGTTTGAGGCACATACTTCTCCAAGAACAGAGCATGAAACTGGGTCCAAGTGAGTGGGGATAAAACTGTAGATCTCCATTCCACATGAGCTCCCCACCACTGCTTAGCCTCACATTGAAGCTGAAAAGTCACAAACTCAACTCCATGTTGATGGACAATTCCTAACTTATGAATTCTCTTATAGCAATCTAGGATGAACTCATAGGCAACCTCACTCTCAGAACCATGGAACACAGGCGGTTTCAACTTCAAGAACTTAGTCAACATCTCATGTTTATTACCAATCATAACAGGACCCAACAAAGGACGGAAGAAAGTGTCATTACTCTAGTTCCACCCACCTTGGGGGACAGTGATAGCTATAGGGGGATTGGTGGGAGCTTGATTTGCTTGAATAGAGGGAAGCACTCCAAGACCAACCAATCATTTCAAGAACGACATAATATGTTGAGCAAACACTGGGTCTAAAGGAGGAATACATGTAGTCTCAGCCTGCACCTCTTCTTCTTGACCAACATTCTCATCGTTCTCAACCTCTATATTCTCATCTACCTCTTCATGATGCGCAGGAGGGGTCTGATTTCTGGGAGCATTTTCAACCGGTGCTCCATCCCTAGTGGGTGCCACCCTTCCTCGGCCTCTACCTCTAGCTTTTCCTCTACCCCTGCCTCGATCGCGACCTCTCGTTGCAGATTCCTCAGCTGGGGCATTGACGGGAGCTACGACTCTGACGTCGTTGAACCTAGTGTTAACCATGTGCGGACATAAGAGTGAAGGAGGTTAGATAACAATTTGCATCGCCAGATACCAATTGGAATCAAATCATAGCACGAAAGGAGACTAGATAAAATAGAGAGATTTCCTAAAGTCCTATAGCCTCTCAAAGAAAAGTACAAACGTCTCTGTACCGTTTTGCAAGGCTCTCCTAGACTTGTTTTGGTACATCGAGATCAACGAACCTAGGCTCTATTACTAACTTTGTCACGACCCATACCATCGTGATTGACACCCACACTAACCCTTCAGTAGGAGAACCATTCATACTAATTAGCTAGTC